AAGCCGAATGACGAGGCAGGGCTGCCAAAGATGCTGTTGCCCATGATTGAGTTCATCGAATCTTCCCTGGTGACCGAAGCCCCGGCGTCCGTCATCTCGAGATCGTTGTCTTCGGATATCGCACGCTTCTTATGCGTGTGGCCGTCCTCGCATGATCGAACCCTGTGGAGCGAGCTGGGGGATTGGTTCTGAGGTTTGTTCGCATCTTCTTCCCACTTGTTGACTTCCGAGTAGATGGCCTTCCAGCCCTCCATATTGTACAGCTTCTCCCATAGCTTGCGGTCGAGGGCCAGTTCGTGCCAGGCGTGGCAAGCCTTGGCGACGTGGATGAGAGAGAGGGGATCGAGGTATCCGAGAATCTTCAGGCAAACTTCTGTCGGCAAGTAGTGAACGAAGTTGATGTACATGCGAGGATGTAGACGCTCGACGATTTCGACGATGGTCGATGTGGGTAGCTGGTCGAGAAGAGCAATAGCAAGCTCTGTTCATTTGGCAAAGTGTCGTGTCAGTTGTTACCCCAAGGACTTTGAGCAAGCAGAGCAAACGTCTGCCCTGCTGCAGCTGCATCACAGGGCAAGGTAAACGTACCAGTCTTTTCAGAGGTGGACAGGCCGGGGAGATGCTGGGCGAGCCAGGCGGGCAGGTCTGCAGGTGGACGCGAGGCCGAGACATCCTGAGTGCCGCTGAAGCTAGGGTTCAGAGGGTCTTCGGAGTAGCCCTCGTCGGGCTGTTGTGAGGTAAAGGCAGACATGTCTGGCGAGAGTGTGTAGTTCGAGAGGTTATGGAGATGTCGCGCAGGACTTGGTCTCTACGGCTCTTCTCTAATGGCAAGGTATGCGCAGTCGCGGGCCATGCGTGCGAGGGGCAGACGGGGTTCGTGCTCGGTCGCGGGGTGGACTACGGTCGATTGGCTTCTCTGGAATGCTTTGTGGTGGTGGTCGTCGTCGTCGTCGTCTTCTTGGCCGAGAGTATGCAGCGGGAGAGAGAGGCAAGTGAGACTATGGGCGGACTGATATCCAGGGAAGTCTTTGGGCGACGTGATGCAAGGCGGCTAGGGTTCCTTTGATGGGCGTGGTTACGTATTGGTGGTGATGCAATGGTAGTGTAGAATGTTGTCTTAGTTGTGTCGCATCCAGAAAATAAAGCAAGGAATGGGTGCGGCGAGAGAGCTGCGAGTGTAGATGCAACAGCAGAAGCAAGGCAAGCAAAGAGAAGAGGAGATGGGACAGGGTGTGGGGTGGGAAAATGGTTGGATTGAGATTTTGGGATTGAGATGGAGAGTTGGATTGGGGAAAGGAAGGGTTGGTTGGATGATGTTAAACGGCGGGTTGAAGGTTTGGATGTTTGGATGCTGGGCTGACCGGGGGCGGCAGGGCGGGTGGAAATGTAGCGGGAGCGCTTGGCCGTTGTTGGTTGAAGATGCCTGGATGTCGCCGTGAGGTAAGCAGGCAGGGCAATAATTACGGATGCAGGTAAGCGATCCAGACCTGCCGGACAATTAGGTGACAGTTCAGGTGAGCAAGGTGAACACAAGGCAATGGAAGGCAAGACGAGGCAGCGGAGTGCGGAAGGGCGAGAGGCGGCGGCGGCGGCGGCGGGCGGTAAGAAGACGGGAACCTTAGGGAAGCCAAGTGGGCACTGGGCGGGGATTGCTTTGCAGCCTGGAAAGCCTGTTTTTTGGTCCCTGGGAATCACCTCAACCTGGAAAATTGGTGATTGGGATAGGAGAGGGGAAACGAGGGAACCATGGAACATGGAAACACATGAACACAGCACCACAGCATCACAACAAGTTGACCGCTGAGCAACTACGGTACTATGCATACGGATCCACGGATACCTCATGCAAACCAGTTTTTGACAGACTGAGAGAGGGCGGAGGTGGCGGGATGGGATGGGGATGATGGAGCAATAACAGACGGGTCCGGCGATTATCACTTATCCTTGTTCTCTTGTCTGAAGACATTGCTCCTCACACTTCTATTGCTATTTACTCTCCTCAGTCTCCATGTCTGTTGATCAGAGCAATTGACCAATATCATCATCGCATCGCATCCCCTTATCCCCTCGGCATCCTCTCACGGTGCCCATCTCCAACCTCTCATCCTCATCCCCCCATCGACCCCCTCTGATATCCATACTGAGTGCGGATCCCAGACCAAGTCAGTGACAAGAGGTGTGGACATGCAACAGACAAAGTAGGCAAGGACCGGCAGGCAAAAAATAAGCCGCAAGAACAAGGGGGCCGCCCAAGCAATGCGGAGCGACCACCGGCCGCGGGAGTCTGCCGCCACGTCCGTCCACCGCCCGCATTCCACTCACTCACTCTGCGTTACTCCTATAAAGCTTTCCAGCAATCACTTTACATGGTGCGGGCAAGGCATAGGGTCAGACCATACGCCAAAGCCGTCGCGTTCTCAGACAGCAGATTCTCCCAAACGCCTCCTGGAAGCAGAACGGCTTCCGGGAAGAATGTGAAAGGAAGCAAAAGATAATGATGCATCATCCAGCCCTCTCACTCCCATCTACTTTCAAGTTGCCATACTCCTCAAATTACAACTTTCCCCCTCCCGCTTGTGCCTGCCGCTTCACTGCACGAAATACATACATACAATACCTAGGCTTCGCAAAAGACCCGCAAATGAGCAGCAACGGGTGGCAAAAATGCGGGAGGGGCTTCGAGTGGAGTTGAATTCAGAACGTGCCAGCAGAAAGCAAGATTCAAAAGTGAAAAAAGACCTCACCTCAAGCTTATGGGGAATCCTAAGTTTACTAACTATAGTTGGGCAAGAGTGTGGTATGACACATGTGTGCCTATCCAGATTTAGACACACCCGCTGCCGGCCGACGACTTGTCTTGCATTTTGCATATCCCCACGAACGCAGGGTGAGATCTTGTCCTTTGGAGAGTTCGTGATCTCAGATACTCGCATAGTACATGAGACACATATCTAGATCTTGCAACTACCCAGAGATCCCAGGTTAGAAATGACCTTGATCTCATCCCCCCTCAGCTTACTTGAAACATAATCACCATAATACCCATCCATATCATGAGCCGTAGCGTTCCCTCACATATACCTCATACCCGCAGATACACCTCCCTTCCCAATTTAAGCTCACAACTCAATCGGCCAAGAAAGTTTATTCTTCTTCTCAGTGAATCCCCTTCTATCTTGTTTGACTACCTACACATAAATAACATTCACGATTCCCCTCCCCTCCGACGCCGACTTGTCCATCGGACAGCAAAGCCCATGTTCCCTCTTTTACCACTCCCATCGGGCTGCCGAGACTAGTATGGTTCATCGCAACATGAAATGCTAATTATGTGTCCAGACTCAGCTCTACCTCTTAGGTTCCTGTATGTTACCTTCCAAGTTGTTTCCCATGCATCTTGGCTTTCATCACTGGCCGGTGCCATAGGACGCTTTTTTGATACTGGCCCATTCCACTTACCCAAGGCCGGTTGTACTTACTGTTGACTGCCTCATCATTCACCACTTAAGCAAAAGAAAAGAAAAAATAAGGTGAGGCAAATTATATAGACATTTTCTCGCCACCTACCTTCATGGTTTCCCTTGCGCCTACGAGCTGCTGTCGAGAGAGCCGGAAAAACGGAAAGCCGAATGATAAGTCAACTGACACGTGTACGGTGCAGATCGGCGGCGGCGAACGTCCCGCCCTGATCAATAGTTTCCCCTTTCTCTTCTCTCACTCGTGATTTGAAATGGCCAATTCTCGGCCCTACCATGAAAGGAGGTGGACATGATCGCTCTGCCGATTCATCCGGCTTCAGCCATGAGTCGACACCAGGTGCTTCTGCCCTCCCCGGTGAGCCTCCGAAAAGTGACAACGCCCGGTCCGGGTATCCGTATGACTGCGCCTACCTCTCAGGTACTGAAAGCGCGGCAAGAAGTTCAGGAGGCTCATTAGGACAAACACGAGGGATCCCTCATCGTGATCTCTAAGGGACTCTCCTGACAGATGCAGGTCGAGCACGAACAGAGGCGGCGGGAACGACGTCGCACATGCCAGAAAACTCCAATGAGGAAGCCGGCTTGGCTTCAATGACTTTCCCATCCGCCCGCAGTCATGTCGCACGAAACTTTTCTTGTGCGCGCGCTGTTCGGAGCTGACCTTGCCATTCTCCAGAAAACCTCCGGGTGAGTTTCTTGGGTGTTCGCCTCTTCTGCACGTCAGCCCGGGACTCCCCTCTCTGAATGCTTGCCTCCGAAGGGGGTATGACGTTCTTTCTCTATTAGAGGCTGCTCGTGTGAGTGCAGGCGTGTCATTGCCGGGCGCATCGAGTCGCGCACAAGATCACGAGGCGACGCTCAATAATCAGATTGTTTCCCGAACTGCGATGAGTCAAGGCAAGCTGTGTCCGTAAAAGCACAGGCTCTGGATGAGTGCTCTCAGAATGGAACGCCTGTTTGTGATAATGGACAATCAGAATGAGGCGAAATAATCCCCGAGCTTCGTCAGGCCACTCCGTGAACAATCGGCCTAAAGTGATTTTCCGGGGTACTTCGGCTTTTGCGTGGATCCACCACGAGTCCTACGGTCCCTATTCGTATCCGTGAGGTCTAGTCCTACCAGTTAAGGGATGGGCCGCGAGAGATGCCGTGGTTTGCGTGGGTGCATGCACGAGAGATTTGTCCCGATAGACTATCCCCAGTTTGTCCGTCCTGTGTGAGCCTCAGCCCAATGGTGACATCTTGGCATCCTCTGCAAAATACCATTGGTGAAAACCTCATGCTATCATAGACTCTCACCTGTCTTTGTGATGTCTCGTCCTCAAACAATTTTCTGGAGGAAAACAAACAACGGGCAAAGAAAGACCGGGTGCCGCGGCTGATCCCCATGCTCTTTGACGGCGTCTGCTAAACTGCGAATGGCATAAACTGTGCAGCTCAGGCGCATCGCATCGGTCTTGAACTATCCAGCGGCCGCCGAGTCTCAACCATGCCGCCTTGAGACGGGGCCGGTACTCATCATCAAGCCACCGAAAACGCCTCTCGCTCCGAGCAGCTCGCACCACCGCCCCAGCCCGGACCGCCCAGGCCGAGAGTGAGACGCACCGTTGAAGCCTCCAAGCCTGGGGCTGAGGTGGCCAGCTGCGATACTGGACTTGCATAGGTAATTCTCTTTTGCAGGATATGTACACGGGAAGAAACAAGGACGAGCGCCATGTTTGGCATCGACAGCCCATCCCACAATCCAGCACAGGCACAAGAGGTAATCTGAAGCACATTGCAGCGCATCCTGAAGGGTGAGAACATTTGCTCGGGACATCCTTCGTTCGGAGTGGATTCCGCTCGCCTTTCTGGAGGCTAGCCGTCGTGACCCATGTCGGCCATCCCATGTTAGGCGTTGGTTGAGTGGTCCAGAAAATCCCAAAATAAATTCGTCATGTGAGGCTCCCATTGTTTCCTAGACCTTGTGGGACAGCCTACTAGGTGCATGAAGATGGTGTTTCAACGTCTTTGACGTGTTTTGGTCAGCTCATGGAGGGTGGCTTACCGGGACTTGATCCGCGGCTGTGGATTGGATATCCAGCCAGGACTTAGTTCGCAGGGAATTAGGTTTTGTGGCCATGGAGCTAGACATGACGGTACCTATGCCCTTCAACGGGCGGTCGGTAGCCGTGTGCCCGGACAGACTGACAGCGACAGTTGCAGGGTGAGCGTCGTCCTTGATAGCGGTGTGTGGGCGCAAGAGACCCTGAAGAGACTCGACAGCAGAGTCAGAAGAGACCGGGATGGCAGTGCGAGGCTGCACGGCGCATGTCCTGTCTGCAGCGTGAGAGCAGGGTAGTTCCGTGCATTGGAGCATCGAAACAACAGACGGATGGGAGACGCTCATGCGGTTGTCTGAGAACCCATCCACCGATCTCGTCTGCGTATGTGGGTGAGTGAGTCTGTCGGTCGGGCGGTTTGAATTGCTGACGGGCAGCATAGCACAGTGGTGTCTGGAGAGCGAGGGGGGCAAATGTTTGTATCCCTCCTAGCAGCCGGCAGCGCAAGATGTGGTCAAAGTGTGCGAAGAGAAGACGCCTTGCGATATGTGCAGCAGGATATACGGCGGGCGAAGGGGGGAAGGCCCGAAGAGTGCAGACACGACCGGATGGCTGTGCTTGAAGGCGCCTGGCGCACCGTTAGTTTCAATGTTGGGAGGAGACCAACCGCGATGGACTGATTGCGACTGCAGCGGCAGTTGTCGATTGATGCAGGCCGGTCAGGTCTTGTTCGGGTCTTGGCCGAGATGGCGATGCGCATCGAGGTCAGTTTGTCGAATGCAACCCCCAAGATAGGGAATATGCGGCATCAAGTCTGACTGCGGAGGATGTAAAAGGGTTGGTCAGGATGTCTTTGCTCAGAGGGCAGGAGGGGGTCATGGAGATTTTGGCTTTGAGAGCGCAGGAAGGAACCCTTCTTTCTTGGTGCCTTCCCGAGACTCCCCAAGTGTCTTATCGGAGCACAGGCCGGTGCTTTAGCTAAGCCGAGATGGCTTATCTGTACCTTCTCAGGTCCCAATGTGCTCCGTACCTTCCTCACCTTACCTACCTAAGGTACCTTACGCTGAAGTTGTTTCCAGATTCCCTTAATGTAAGGTACCTACCTCTCCAGCTTGTTTTATATTCTTTTTTGAAAGATATCAAGGTGCTCTGCAGTCCATCTTGACTGATTACCTAACTTGCCGAACAGCTCACCGTATGATATTGCCATCTCCATGTCTCCGGCTGAACTTGACTGAGCAATACGAATCATGTTGGGCGCAAGTGGCCTGAGGGGTTTGGACCATCAAGTGGGCAGTCGGCTCATTGTGCAGAGCAACCATGGATGATTGATTTCTACAGCGGGGGGACAAAGGGCCCGGCAGGCATGTCGTGCGACGAGTACCTTGCAGACGCAATGGGGGCATGGCAATCAACCCGACACCGGCTTGAAGGCGCTCGAGCATATGAATACTGTGTAATTTCAGATACAGCTTGATGGTTGTGATTTGTTGGTTTAAAGATGTCTGCAATCGGCTCAAGACAGCGTTGGATTACGACTTCTGTACGGTATAGACTGCGGAGTACCTTATATCGTTGATACGATGCTTGTTAGTGGATGATGTACTTGCCCGTCCCCAGGAAAGGCCCGTTTCCTCCATGCTCGTCATCCAGGGCATAACAATGACAGCCGTCGGAAAACAAGACGCAGGATGCGGGACACGGGACGGGCAGAATGGAGGATCTGCTCAAGACAGTAAGTAGTTAGTCAACAATCCTCCTCAATCCGTATAGTTTGGATAGTGAGTTTTCAGGAAAATGTGTATCATTGAGTCTGCATGTGCTAGAGTCTGCCCCCGGTCTATCCGTACCCTCCATTACAAGTTTCCCCTATCTTTGTTCCATCAACCTTCTCGAACAATGCAGTGCCGGCCAAGTAGATTTACGGATGTGTCCAGGTCTTGTGTTCCTCTGCCTCGTGCTCAATAAACCCCCTCCTCTTTGTCAGTCCGAGTGCCCTCCTTCTCGTATGCCTCAAGGCTTGTCTCCAAGGATCTACGGTGTGGACGGTCGCTCTGTCCGTGATAGAGATCTCGATATTCCTCTGTGATGCTGCAGAGTTGTTGAGAGCACAGATGCTGATTTCTGATAGAGGTCTTCCTGGCCAGTGACGCACCCAAGATATCCCCATTCCCATCCTAATCAATTGTTCCTTCCTTCCCCGTCGAGGCTTGCCCTGCAATACGTATGTACGTACTCTCGCGCCTGAAGGCTGAAGGCTGATGGGATCGCGATACGTACCGGGCGCGCACCACGAGGGCAGAGTCAATCAATGGGAGACGTGAATCTGTCCACTGCGACGGGAGACCAAGCCCAATCTGGACTAGCGCAATCACCCGCTAATTTGAAACGCCCAAAACCTCCATCAGATCAATGCGGCCAACCTGAGGCCGCCTCTCCACCACAGTACCGCGCAGTTGTACCTCCGCTCCCACTTGTGCCTCTTTCTCTCTCTCTCTCTCTCTTTTCGCCGGGCGTCTCTCTGCCTTTCCTTCACCGCGGTAGGCTCAAAGACTCAAAGGACGTGGTTCCGAATCTGTCATCCTCAGACCTCTCAGCCCAACCAACCCGTTCCCACTCACACAACATCCGCCCACCACCACTATCCCACCATTCGTACCCATCACCCCCTTGCTCCTGCTGCCAATACCTTACTCTAGGGGCCCAGGCAATCAGCAGAGCACGGGCGACGAGACACTGCACCACATTGGACCGCAACAGCAACTGGAGCTAGGAACTGGGGACTGGAAACCCGACCTGGCTGGCCTGACCTGGATCTTTCCCCAGCACCCAAGCAAGTTGAAGCAACCACAGAGACTCAGGCGCTTCCACACTCTGTATCCTCAGATCCTAAGGGTACGGATAGTCCCCCCCCCCCTCTGTCTTTGCCTTTGCGGCTTGCCTGTGCCTGTGCCTCTCGCCTTACCCCCTAAACCTTTGCTTTACGTTCCCCCATGCTGCCGTTCACTACCTAGTACCTAACCCAGCCCCCCTCCAGGTTGAATCAAGACACACCCTCATGCACGCCAACTGCATCAGCCTGCGTCCTGCAACAGCGTCCCCAAATCCAGCGACAACTCCAACCTCGACTTGCAATTCTCTGTCGGCAACCTAGCACTCCTCAACCGACACTCCCAAACGATATCCATTTCGCAATACCTCTTGGCCCACGAAGGCTTGTTCGAGATACACGCTATCGCCCACCACTAGTGACACCTAATAGGAGGATCAAGGACCGGACAGGGGTCAAAAAGGCAACTTGTTTCGCCCCGATAGCCCGCATCGCTCCGCACCGCTCCGCAACTTCGACTCGTCGACTCGAAAAACAGACCCGCCCAACCAGCCCAACCTCCCTCCTCCACCGACTTTCGGCGCCGGCACTTCTGTCTCACACACACATACTGCCTTCTATCTCTCTCTCTCTCTCTCGCATACGCACACGCAAACCCCGTACACGAAGACGTCCCTATTCCTCATCGTTATCCGCCTGTTCCAAGTCCGGCAAAACACATAGAGGGGGGCCCTATTCGATCACCACAAGGGGGGGAAATACTAGAGTCCGAACGCCCATCGCTCAAACCCCTTGTTCTCATTTTCGCCCTCCAAGAACAAACCTACCCTTCTCCCGACGACGCCCATCGCCCACGAGAACCTTCCCCGACGCCCACCGCTACATTGTCGCTGCTCCGCCCAAGCACCGATATCCTGAACCCGAGTCCACTCGACCAGACCGACTCTCGAGAACCCCGGTGCCGAATGACGTGACCCTGTCTTCGACATAGGACCACGAACCGCTTCATCGATCCTCCACCGCCTCGCCCCTCGGTCCTCGCACGATCCCCGATCCTCTTCGTTGCCGTCGTCGTTGTAGTCGACCGTCGTGTCCTTCCATCCTCTCCCCTCCATTCACCGGATGGGTTAGGACGTCATGGCTCATGCTCCTCTCCTAAGAACAAACACGGCTCCTGTATTCCAGCAATCCAACGGAATCGGCGGCCTACCCAATACCATGAGTAATGCGCCCCGCGCCAGCCAGCTTTCCGGCTCGACAGCGTACACATCCTCTGGCTCTTTCGCCTCCTTCAACAGCGCATCCACGGTGACGCCCCCGCAAAATGGAGGTCCCGTTCAGGCTACGGCCAACATCATCAACCAAAAGGCCGATGCCTCGCGGTCCCTTTACCAGATTTGCATGTCGTTGAAGCAGCGATTATCACAGGTACCTGGCTTCGACCCCTATCTGCAAGAGCTCGACCCCAACGACCCTGTCGAATCACTGTGGGCCCTGTTCCGCACCGGTTATCCGCTACTCGACATTTACAACGCCCTGCAACCAGAGAAGCCCCTCGAGATCGAAGGCGCAAACGCCAGTGCCAGCGACAGCAAAAAGGCAAAAATTGCTCTCTTCAAATTCATTCAGGCGTGTCTAAAGGATTTGGGTATACCCTCGGCGGAATGCTTCGTCATCAGCGACGTACTAGGAAATGACACGACTGGTTTTGTCAAGGTATGCGACACGACTGCTGTCTCTCCTCCACGGTGACCTCTGATTCAAGATCACCATCAATCATGTAAATTGAAAATGACCAAATCTGACCTCGTCCTAGACAACTCAAGTCGTCAATTACGTTCTCGACATCGCTGAGCAACGGGGTCTCTTGTTGCAACTCCAGCCTTATCCCGAAGATGATCTTCCTATGGAACCAGGCTCCAAGCTGAGCTACCGGGATCATATCGTGAAGGAACTGGTAGACACGGAGCGAAAATACGTCCAAGATTTGGAGAACCTCTACGACCTGAAAAGTAGCTTGGAGACTAAGGGAATAATCACTGGCGACACCATTCATCAGATTTTCCTCAACATCAACGCTATCCTGGATTTCCAACGCCGTTTCCTGATCCGTGTCGAGACGACAAACTCCATGCCCAAGACTGTACAGCATTGGGGTGCTCCATTTGTCACATACGAAGATGCATTCGACATCTACCGTCCCTTCATCGCCAATCAGCGCAAAGCAGCCCAAGTCGCCAATCAAGTCTTTGACCAGATCAAAGCGAGCGGGCATCCCGTGGCCGCAGACTTCAACACTTTGGATGGCTTCCTCCTCAAGCCCATGCAGCGTCTCGTCAAGTACCCTCTGTTGTTGAAAGACTTGATGAAAAAGAGCGAGGACGAGGATATTAAGGCCGATCTGGCAGGCGGTATCGAGTCTGCAGAACGAGTTTTGTCAAAGGCCAACGAAGAAGTCAACCGAGATCTGTTGGACGAGGCTCTGGACGACTTGCGAAACCGAGTCGACGACTGGAAGAATCATCGCGTGGAGCAGTTCGGCAGGCTGCTGATGCATGGTGTTTACACTGTCGTCACAGGGAAGAGCGAGCAAGAAAAGGACGTAAGTTTTGCTCTACAAATTTGCCATCCCCAACCAGGACCAAACACTGATTTTCGTAGTACGAGATTTATCTCTTCGAATGCATACTACTCTGCTGCAAGGAAATTTCGGCGAACAAGAGCAGGGACAAGAAGGATAAGACTAGGTCTACAGGGCCCAAGATCAGGAACAAGAATGCGAGACTTCAGTTGAAGGGCAGGATCTTCATGACGAACGTTACTGACATCGTCTCCCTCGCAAAGCCCGGTATGGAAAGGAAGTAACCCTAGTCCTAACCCTCGATTGCTAACCAATTCACAGGATCCTACATTGTCCAAATCTGGTGGAAAGGCGATCCTGGCGTGGAGAACTTCATGATCAAGTACACCAATGAGGAGCAGATGAAGAAATGGGCAGTCGCCCTTGAGGCGCAACGTAAGGAGAACACGCCCAGCAAATCTGCTACGAGTCCCGACTCGGCGGCACCCGACTTTGCCTGGACACGAGAAAACGCTGGCAAGCTCGAGAACCCGTATCTTAACCAGCAAGACGATGACGATGACGAGGAACTGTGGCCACCAGCCTCTGCCCCTGCCCAGTTTCCCATGCCGACTCAGTCTACAGGAGGCAGCATGTTGCCTCGCAACGCATCGAGCACAAGCCTGCGGCAACGCGCCGCAACTAATGAGAGCCTTGCCGGTATGGTGAGGGCTCCGCCTCCTAGATTCCCTCTGCCGCAACCACCGGCGCCTCTCAGTCTTTCGACCCAGGTGCCTGCTCCGGGTGCCTCTTCACCTGGTGCCCGCGGCGGCGACTCTTACTTTTCACCCGTAGCCGATTCGCCTGTTTCCTCGCGCACGAGCACCGCCAGCAATATGTTCCCTAATCCAGCATATCAATTCCCCAAGTCGCTGACCCCTCAGCCTGGGTGGGAAGATCCCAATCAGAGATACACGGCCCCCGCAATGCCTCGAGCTCCTTCGAGAGATGGTTCTTCGCAGCACAGGAATCCTCGCGGACCGTCTTTGCCGGCAATGGCTTCCAACAGTCAGACTGCAGCACAGCAGCAGCGCAGCAGATCGTACAGCACTCCTGATATCAACGCCCCCGGGAACATTCGTCGCACTCAAGGGGGCACTCCTGTTCCGGCGGTGCCTGGCATCCCGGCGCATCTACACCCAGCCCACGACCAGAATATCCCGCGGTCGCAGACCGGCTCGCCCAGGGTAAATGACGTTCCCATCAGATCAAACACGCAGAGCCCGGGCGCTCAGCGAGAACGCCAGTACGGCCACCAGCAATCTGGAAGTTACGGTGGCACCATGTCCCAGTTCCCCGCTCAGCCAATCTATCCCCGCCAGGGAACGCCAAACTCTGTCCATGACCGGCAGCTCAGCATTGATGCGGCTGCGTCTATGAATGCCATGTTGTCTCCTCCTCTTGGCACTGGCGGGATCAGCGGATCTCAGTCAAACCCGCTTGCCAGCCCCGACCTACCGATTCCCACGCAGTTGAAGGTCAAGGTGAACTTTGTCGACAGCGGCAACTACGTCACACTGGTTGTTGCATTCAACATCACATACCAGTCTTTAATTGACCGCATCGACGCCAAACTTGCGCGGTTCACCAACAGCAGTATCAGCAAGGGCATGCTTAAGCTCCGATACCAGGACGAGGATGGCGACTTTGTCACTATTGCCAGTGACGATGACATTCAGATCGCCTTTATCGAATGGCGCGAGGGAGCCCGCGCCACTGCGCCGGGAGGGGTAGGCGAGATTGAGCTGTTCTGCGTTGGAGAAACGGCCTAAGCGCCTCATTTCTATGTCGAAGTAGGTCTTTTGAGAGAACATTGGGACTCTCCCAGGCGCATCATACCCATATACCCACCGGAGGGCATTTCTTTGCATACATGGCGTCCGGAGCAGTTTATTTCACCTCATTTTATACCTCTCAGCATCGCATCAACAAGCACGTGGCTGCTAGACTACCATACATCACGGGGTTCGTAGCGGCAGCCATTTGCGGTTAAGAAGCATTCGGACTCGCGCACGAGAATTTAGACGGTTCCATCACGACCACATATTTCCTTGCCCTCAAGGACACGGTCCCCTATGCAGGGGTTGTATCCAAAGGCACTCATTCACCGGATCGCTCCTTTTCTTCTTTTTGGAAATACTTGACATCAAACTACCCTGGGCGACTCTGGATGTTGCTTGCATACGTCTCTATGGGGTTCTTCGATATCGAACTCTTCAGGGCAGATACATCCAGGGCTCCCATCATTTCACTTTCACTTCTTCTCTTGGTTGATTACTCTTTCTGGGATGACTAACCTACTTTCAATCGTTACGACTTTGATGATGGGGGACGAATTGTGATATCTGGCTTTTGCCTAAATGGTTGGGTGCGGTTTGGCTGGGTGGCAACTGAGCTGCCATCAGCCAGGAGGGAATGAGAATGCCTGCCATGTCGCTCGTTACAGTTTTGGGGATCGGGTTCTTGACTGGCGCTAGCTAAAGGTTATTCGAACAATGAACAGGCGTTACTGTTCCTTCATGATGATGTCGAGCCTCCCTTGCTTGGTGACGTTTGATTGCTTGTCTTCCATCGTCATTACTAGGTGTTGAAATCTGTGTAATCTGTGATTTGTGATGTGTGGTTTGATATACTTCATGGACGATGATGATCCCAGCTTACGTGGTCCACACGAATTAGCGACGCTTAGAAAGAGATATCTGCCTGCTTCTGTAGTGATTATTGATGTTTGGCTCGATTATTTTCAATTCCTCCCCTGGTTGTCATGGCTAACCATTATCTTTTCTGCATGTCCTTGTCACGCAAGAAAACTTGGTGGACCTCTAGTTCCTTGGATGGAGGAGTCTATAAATTCTAGTGCCCTGCTGTGATTCATGATGGATTGGTCGATCGTCTTCTCTAGGTCGGGACATGGTGCTTCTGTACATGTTGATAGAATAGACCCCCGGAAGGGATAGTTACACCATGTTGCACTATCGACAACTTTTTTCTCTCGCATTATTTTCTTGGGTTGACGAAAATAAGATGTTTTCTGCGATCGCACTCCTACCATCCGCGTCGCGGCCTGATCAAGTCTGCATATGATCTGTGTTTGTTTACATAT